GGGGGGGGGGGGGGGAGGGCAGCTGCGGGACAATGTTTTAAACTGTTTTTAGCCAAATAAAATGTGCTGCGTGACCTAAAGCTCCCTGGGGACTCCTTCGCGGGGCTGGAGTTGGCGGGGGGGGGACACACACGTGTTAGGGTTTGACTTTAAGGTTTAATTTGCATAACGTATGAATTGGGGTTGATTTGCATACTCGGCGCGCTTTCTAGGGGGGCGGGCCCGGAAGCGGCGCGCGCGTTTTGCCGGTCTCGGGGGTGGTGCCGGGCGGGCACCGGAGAGTCCCCGGGGGTAAGGGGGGGACACCGGGCAGCCTGCCCCCCCCTGCCCCGCTCCTTCTGCCCCGGGTGAGTGTCTGCCCGGTGCGGGCCCCCCCGGGGGCCAGCGGCTGCGCCCGGCGTGGTTTAACGGGGGACGGGAGCTGGTAACGGGGTGGCTGCGGGTTCCCGGCGGTGGGGGGAGTTGGAGGGTCAGGGCCGGTCTGTTCCCGGGGGAGGGGGCTGCAGTGGGACCCACCGCCAGCAGCAGCTGGGGGGAGGTTCCGTCTCGGCTCCCCGGGAGGGTGAGTGATGGAGGAGCTGTGAGTGAGGTGGTTTTGGAGGGCTCGGGGGATCCCCCGGTCCTCTGGCCCCACTGGGACCCCCAGTAAAGCTGCTGCACCCTCGGGTGATGAGGATAACCATAGAGCCCCCCCGCACTGAGCTAAGGGCAGCCCCCAAAAGTGAAGCCGGTGAGGGAAGACCCTGGAGTTTGCTCCAGAAATGGGCTGGCTGGGTCCTGGATGTGCCATTCCTCCCCACACCCTTCTCGGTGTGACCTGCATCAGGCTTACCCCAATTTTTCTTGCAGGTGGCTGTGAAGCCCCCCAGAGCAGCGATGGAGCCCCCCTGCCTGCCCTGGCTGCGGAGCTTGAACAAGCCCTGCCGCCTCCTGCTGCACGCGCTGGCCTCCGGCTCCTCTGGGACGCTGGCCGCCCTCCGAATGCTGCAGCGGGTCCCCGGGGCAGCGGAGCAGGCGTTTCCCTGGCAGACCTTCACCGCAGCCCTGTGCGCCGAGGAGCCCACGCTGGAGGGGCCAGAGGGGGCCCTGGCTGTGTGAGTCGGCCTCTTGTCCAAAACCGGGTGTTTTGTGGGAGGTTTGGGACAGCAGGTGCCCAGTTTGGCAGCGTGCATCCTCCTCCCCCCGGTGCAGCAGTCCCTACCTAAAGTCAGGATCGTAGCGGGGACCTTCCAGCTTGTGTCTACAAAAGCTGGCAAAGGTTTTTGCTTCCTTCTCTAGCTTTCTAACCCCGTTAGACCCTGCTCCGTGGGGCAGGTTGGCAGTAAGGACTCAGGGCTTTGTTCTGAGGTGTCACCTCTCCCTTTTCTCCCATTTTTTCCCCCCTATATCCAGCAAACCGCGCCTGCTGCTGCTCCCCGTCCTGTGCCAGAGGAATCTCTTCTCCCTGCTCCTCGTGGTACAAGCCATGGTACCAGAGGGTTGTGTTGTCCGGCTGCTCCAGGCCCTGGAGCAGGATTCCCAGGTGGATCCCTGGGTGTGGGCGCTGGGGGATCTGCTCCGGGAAGGACCAAGGGGAGAGAAGGGCTCTCCACGTCCTGCTCCCTTGTCTTCTGCCTGCCAGCAGCAGCTTAAGTGCCTCTGCCAGAAAATTGCCCAGAACAAACCAGAAGGGCAAGGAAAACTGAACTGGTGCTTCAGCAAGCAGCCTGGTGCTGCTGGGGACGTGGAGGACTCTGCGCTTCAAGATGGGAAGCGCAAGAAAGCGTCGGAGGATAGCCTGGAGCTGGATGAGGAGAGAGAAGGGAAGAGGATGCTGCTGGAGGAGGTGGTGTTTGAGCCTCTGGGAACCCCGGAGGGTGAGGATGTGGATGCAGAGGTGGAAGAGGAGATGCCTGTGGAGATTTCAGGGGACAGATCTGCTCAGAGCCCAGCTGGAGCTGCTGTGGGAAGCTCCCAGCAGGATGTGGCTGGGGAGCCCAGGAAGATCTCACAGGCAGAGCCGGCAGTGGAGGTCCAGTCCTTTCTCCAGGTACCGGGCAGGGTTTGCTGTCCCCTTCCAGCCAGTGTGTCTTTACAGCCTGATTTCTGTTCCTTCATCACATTTTCCTCAGGTGCATGGACAGAGGCTGAAAATGCTGCTGCAGAAGGAGTCTAACGTAAGTGGTTGCTTCTGTGTCTCTCGTGGAGCTGATGGTCTAAATGGGCTCATCCCAGGGCCTCCAGAAGGGACAGGGGAGGAGGTGGGTTTCACAGGGACAACTGGAGGGGGATAATAACCCCTGCTGCCAGCTCTACTGGGCTGAGGTACTAATACCTCCTCTGCCTCTGAGGATTTGCTGTATGATGGGCCGCCTGTGGGGTTGGTGCTGGCCAAAGCTGGGGGCCGGTGGGGAAGAGAACAGCCCTGGACCTGTATTTTGTGGGTTGGTTTATTTGGTGTATTACTCAAGGACCATGTTTCCCTGCAGCACTCGGAGCTGAGCATCCCCCCTGAGCTGCATGTCCTGCACAACTCCTCTCCTGGCCAGGTGAGCCTTGGCATCCCACCGCCGGTGCCGCAGAGGGCCTGCTGCTGTCCCTAACGTCTCTGTCCCTCTGCTGTCCCCAGCTCCAGAGGCTGTGCTCCTTCCTCCAGCTCTCCATCTGCCCAGAGCACCTCCTGGTGCGTTTCTGCAGCTGGCTGCTGACTCTCACCCCTGACCTCAGCTACACCAGCGCGGCCGTCCTGGCAGAGCAGCTCTTCCTCGAGCGAGTAAGTGTGGGAACAGAGGCTTCATGCACCCCGTTTTCCCTCGCTGCCATCCCCATCTCCTGCCTTTTCTCTCCATAGGTCCTCTCCCTCGCCCAGCCACCCTCCCGCCACCTCATGGCTGCCCTCACCTCGTTTTGCTCTAAGTATCCCCAGCCCTTCTGTCGAGTCCTGGTGGCCGCTGTCCTGCGGGAGCCTGGAGAAGGTGCGATGGGCTCACAGGAGCCATGGCCGCTTCTGGGAGCAGCTGAGGGGAGTTAGAGAGGGACCATGGGCTCCATCCAGCAGCAGAGTGCTTGCCTGCTGCGGGAGGCTTTCATCACCCCAAAAGTGTGTTAGGAACTACGGAGGGATGATGCTGGTTTTACCCAGGCAGGTGAACACTTGGGAGTTAGGATGGGAGATGGGTTTACAGGTGTCTGAGAGGGAGGGGAGGTCGGGCTGGGGACAGTTGCCATCCCCCTGTGGACTCGAGTCCTGACAACTCCTAATGCTGGGGCCAAAGCATCTCCAGGGTGGCTCTGCTGGCATGAGAAGTGTCCTACATGAATCCCTGCCCCTGCAGCATCCCCTTTTACTGAGAACTGGTACTAATTAAACCCTTGCTGCAGATGGGAAAAGGAAGCTGGATTATCCCAAACAGTAGAAGCGGGCACTGTGTGGTTTCTGGGTGTCCCGACTGGGATGTACCCCTGTGTGAAGGGGTGCCAGGAAGGGTCAGGCACATCCCTGTGGATTTGGCAACTTCTAGGGGCTCTTCACCCTTTTGCCTTGCCCTTGCAGGCGCTGAGCAGACCAAGCTGGTGTGTGAGCTGGTGGAGGAGTGCTTGGAGCCAGACTGTGTGAGACTGGTGCTAAGGTAAATGATTAATGAGATTTCAGGGGTGACAGCGCTGCTTCTACCCTCACACCTGCCTCGATGGCTCCGGCCCTTCAGGAGCACCAGCGAGGTCGTGTGAGCATCACCTCTCCTCTTCACCCGCCTTTGCAGCCAGGTCCTGGAGTTGCCTTTGTCAGAGAAGCTCCTGCTGGTTGTGCAGGCTGTGCTGGGGCGGCAGGTGAGGGGACTCCCCCACGTTCCCCCCAGGTTTCCTTGCCAGCTTCAGCAGCACCAGAGCAAGGACTGTCTCTCCTCCCTTTTTATGGCTCTCTTCCAGGAGGTGCTGCCCCCTGAGCTCTTTGATCTCCTGGTCCTGACTCTGTGCCGGCAGGCCCCAGCCTTCGCTGCCTCGCTGAATTACGCCAAGTTGCTGACAGCCATGCTGACTGTGTACCAAAGCCAGGTAAGGAGGACCAGGCTTGTGTCCTGCAGATCAGTTGGTAAGCTGACCCAGGACCTGGCGCTCTCAGATGGGTTCCTGGCAGTGCAGCTCTCAGCACCTTTCTCCTCTCCATCTCAGGTCACCCCAGCCCACCGGAGCCGTCTGGCTGCCGCTCTGGATCGCAGCAATGCCACCCTGAAGAAGTCACTGCAGGCTGTGCTGGAAGGAGCCAGGTAAGACAGATGCTGTGCCCTCCAGGCTGGGGTCTCTCTCATGAGGGACAGCTGCCTCCATTCTCCTGGTCTGTCCTGGGTGGTGGGAAAGCATCAAGTGCTGGCAGAAGCTGTGCTGGAGTGAGGTTGGTGGTGGGTTTCTCTTTTCTTGATTTCTCTTCTCATTCTCCCTCCTCCCAGGTGAATGCCAAAGGGAACCACAAGTTGATGGCTTCCTTGGATGGAAGATGCATCCAGTTCCTCACTGGGAGATGGAGACCCAGCAAGCGTGGGCTGGAGTGTGCAGAGTGTCTGTGCCTCGGCTGACCAGGTTTGAGGCACACTATTGCCGGGCGATGCCATCCTGGCCCCACAGACGCCCCGAGGCTTGAAGATGAGGGTTTTCAGGGTTAAACAATGAATACGTTTTCGGTCAGCTCTGTCTCTGGTGTGTCTGTGGACTGTCTCGGAGCCTGCCGCCATGGGCACCTCGCCACGCTCAAGATGGCGCCCTCCTGCCCGCCACGCTCAAGATGGCGTCTCGCTCCCCGCCTCTCCCAAGATGGCGGCAGAGGAGGAGTTGTGGAGGGGTTGGGCTGCAGGGCGTCTGAGGGCAGCGGATCGCCTCTCCTCCTCTCCCGACCTCCGGCCGTGTGGGCACCTGGGTCGGGGCTGGGCGTAAGGGGTGGCCGGGCTGCGCATCGCCTAGAGGGGGTTGACTGCATGAAGGTGACTCCAGTTTTGGAGGCGGCTTGTGCCCTAAGTTGTCTTTTAATCATGAAAGCAAAAAATCCAGTATTTTTATATTATTGAGGGAGTAGTGTTGGCACATAAGTACTTGAAGAGCTCCTGAAGGTTGGCTGCAGTGATCCTGGGCATGAGGCTGGCTGCTGTGACCCTTCAGAGAGGGAACATTGCCCATTTTCCTTGTATATTCCCTTATAAAATATAGTTTTCTGTCAAGCGGGTCCCCATGTTACCCAACTGGCAGTGAGAAGTTTTTAAAAAAGCAGAAACTCTACTTTCAGGTCCCTTTTGGCTCGATGAGTTGTCAGGTGACGTGATGTCTCCTGCCCTGCACCACCATCTCTGATACCTCTCTACATCTGAAGAGCTTGCCTGAGCATTCGCGAGCCTCATTGGTCTGGTTTGCAGGTGTCCCTCCTTGTTTGAATCAACTTTACACTTTCTGTTAAAAAATGGAGCCATAATGGCTGCAATATTTCCTGCGTGTACCCTTTTCTCACAGCTGAGAGGTGATTTGATGGAAGCCTTCCTGGCATCCGCCCTTGATGAAGCAGATTACTCCTTTGTGGCTCCGGGTCTGCACAAAGCTGGCAAACCTCCCTCTCCTTGTTCACAGTGGCAGCTTGGGACCCAGGGTGAAGAGTCATGTTCTCCAAAAACTTCATATTTCATGGTTTTTTTCTAGCATTGTGGTGGCCCAGAGCAAGCAATACTGCACAGTAGAGTTCTCAGGTCCTTCCTTAGTCCTTAATGCCCTTAACACATCACTGAACCAAGACATAAACTGATCTGAGGCTGTTTGGAGATGATAATTCTGGACTAATCTTAATTTCCCCTCATGATTTTTATCTTGGTTCGAAAGAGCCAAGGCACAAGTGTGGTGACATTTTGTACATCTCAGCCTTTCTCTCGCTGATTTTCAGGTGAGGCAGCAATGATCTGCTGGGATGTTTGTCTGCTCTGCTGGGATTTACAAACCTCAGGATGCAGAAGAGTGGGGTTTAGATGAAGAACTGGTAAACTTGAATTTTCTGCCTTAAATCTGCAATTTTTATTTTTTTTTTTCCATTTTGCCAGGGCCTGCCAGGGGCCCTGCTCTGTGTCACATTTCTGCTTTTCCACATGGCGACGATGGCACTTCCCGTTGCAAAGTACTTAGTGATGCACTAATAAAAGTGCTTCTCTATCCAAATTTCTATCCTGTATCCTTGAAAACACCCACTGGCACCTTTTGGGCAGAAGATTGGGAAGATAAGGATGGGGGAGAGAGGCTGGACTCTGAGGGAGGTAGTGGGAGAGTTTTAATGGAGGTTTTGAAGCATTGCATACTTAAGGAACTATTTAAAAACTTATAAACATTTACATTGACAAAGGGAGAAGAGGGAATAAAACATGTAGGTGTGACATGTTACCGCTTCAAGTTTGCTCATTAATGTTTAGTTCCAGCCAGAGGAATGAAACTGAGGCATTAAGTGATGCTCTTAACGCTGAGAGCAGAAATTTCTTTATAGTAAGAATCTCTCGAGCTATTTTAGGTGACAGTGGACTGATGAGGCTTCAAAGTCTACATTAGCTGGAGGAAAGAAACCTTCAGGGAGCCAAATTGTTGATGTGTTTGCATACCAGTGAGTTAGTGGCTGAGGATATTGAAGCTATTGTAGGGCTGCCCAAAATACGACATAAATAGAAATTGTGCCCTGATCATCAAGGTCTGAGCCTGCTGCTCTGGCTTTATTAGGTAGCAGGCTGCGGTCTTTGCAGTTTCCCTGCAAAGTGACCTCGGCGTCCTTGTCCCCAGCGCTCCCTCTGGCTGGAGCCATCCGTCACATGAAGATGACCCAGGACAAACTCATCTCCAAAATCCACCTGCTCCTCAGCTTCCCGGTGTCCTTGCTGAAGAAGACCTGGAAGAACGCAGGTGCCATGTATATCCAAGAGCACCGTGGGGAAGCTCCGGCATATCTAAAAGACCAGGCAGCAATAAATGGGTGGAAATCTCCTGACTGCGGTGCACGTTCTCTCCCTGATGGATAGGTTGGTTTTGTAACTAACTCCTCACTGGTTTCTTTAGGCAACGGTCTCATTTTGACAGGCTGTTTTTGGCTGCTGCGTGCCAAATGCAGCTTGCACTTCCAGCTCATCTGGAGGTACTGGGAGCTGTGTTTTTGGGCCAGCCTACATGGTTTTTGCAAGAAACAGCAGTCAAGCTTTGCAAACTGCAAGGCGGGGTTCCTGCTCTGCTGGGAAGCCTAATGCTGGCTGGTGGAAAGAGACTTTTTAGCCCTGTTTTTGCTCTTGGCGGCAGCTTATCATGTACTGTGGATTCTTCTGGGGTGTACGTGCGAGATAACAGTCATGTTAGAATTGGAAGCGAACCCTGGAGACATTAGACATCCTTGTTTATGTGGCATTTGATAGCATCCGCATGGAAAACTTTACTTTTGACTCCTCTTGACCCTCTCAAGAACTTTAAAAGTCAGCCTGAACAGTGCAAAGAGTGGCATAAAACATCAGTCAGGTTTTCTAGTTCAGCAGAACCTTATCCGGGAGCTGGGTTTGTTCTTGTCCTGATTTATTGACAAGAGTTGGTGAAGGGGAAGGTCTGAAGTGCTGTCTTAGAGGTTTTCTAGGCTGTATGTAGAAGGCAGTGTATAATTTTCAGCCGATTTACTTGGGATATTTGGCAGTGGTTCCTTATCCTCCCATCCTCCCATGCTGATTTTTGAACCAGTTTTGTGACAAGGTGCTCTCTCCACTCCCCAAGTGGCATCTTGGTGCCATTATAGGGCAGCAGAGGCCTCCCTTGGATGGGCACCCACAGACATCAAATGCCAGCCATCAGAGCCATGTAGGAGCCAGCCCATCTTGGTCCATGTCCCTGAGGGTCTACCCCTTTCCAACGGGAGCTGCGGGCTCCAGGTAGTTGTCCTGTCCCTTCCTGCAGCAGTGCTGGGGGCAGAAAATGTCACCCTGCTTCTCCCTGAGGGTAACCACATTTCAGTAATGACCTGTTAATCACATCCACATCATCCCCAACACAGATGCAGTTTTGCATTGAAACCCTGATGTGATGCTGAATGGCTCAGTGGTCATCTATTTTCAACCTGGAATTTAAAATTGGACCACAGGAAGCAAAACTCCTCTATCTCATCTGTTTGATTTTGTGGTGTTGTTTTTTTTCCCCAACAACCTTTTAATCATAAAAGAATGATGTTCTCCCTTGGTTAGTTTGGTCTCTGTCAGCTGGGGAGATTGGGGCCACGTGAAGATGACACTGCAGGAGGGCTGGGGTGTTTCTTTATGATTGGGTCCCCCGCACAGGTCCAATAAATCACGTTTGCCGCGTCAGCAGTAGCAGCCGGTGTCAGTCTGAGCAGCTTTCCTCCAAGAAGTGGATTAATCCAGATGACTGCGGTCCCTGAGATCTGAGCAAGTTCAGTTTCAGGAGGAGCCCTAGAAAGATGCCGGTGCAATAGGCTGCTGCATTGCTGGTGGGACCTCGCTGGAAGGTGACACAAGGGACAAAGTCAGAGCCTACAGCCTCCTGCTGCCTCCCACATCTCTGGGCTGGAGATCTCCAGTGGGGTCTTGTCCAATCCTGCTGAACAGGTCTGTGCATGGGGAGCTGGGGCTGCTTTTGCTTGTTTGAGGCCCTGCGATACCTAGATTGTAGTCAGGTTAAAAATAAGAACGCATAAAAATCCCAGTGTGCTTTTAGGAAATGCTTTTAGAGATTGTTTGAATGGGCTGATTTGCATGGAGGGGCCTCTTATTGAACCCTCTATTGGGAGGGAATAGAGGAGTTTTTGAGCAGAAAAGCTCTATTCTGGTGTGGGAATGAATGTGATGGTGTCTTCAGGTCTGTGCCACCCATACAGCAACTTGCTGCTGCCATGGGAGGACACTAAGAGCAGAGGCTACAGAGCCTGACCTGCTGCCTACCCGGTGCACTGCATTCCATCCAGTGACTCTCAGCCCAGAGGAAGGGTCTGCCTTGCTCTTCTTGCTCAGATCTCCCCTTTCTGAAACAAAGGGGTGGCCGGAGGCGCGTTAGCCCAGTGATGGGAATGGCAGCCCTGATTCAAACCTGGAGAACTGACCTATGTTTTGAGATGCCAGCAGCTGGGAAACTGGCTGAATGGCTGGGAAAGCACCGGGAGTAAGGGGAAACTCTGCTGCTTGGGGTTATCACTGCACCCAGCTTGGTTGCCTCTGGACAGAGGTGTATATGGATGTTCTGACCTGCGGGATAGATCCATCCCTACCATCACAAGCCCTGAGCATCCTCTTGCAGCCTGGGCCAGGCGACCTGCTCTGGATTTCTTCTCTAAAAAGAAGCACATACGGTAAACCCTTGCACCTGGAAACTCTGGGACAGAGAACTTAGAGGGCTGGAGAGGAGAGGAAATCCCCAGGGAGATATTTTTAAGGAAAGGCAGAGGATATAGAAGACTATAACGCAGAGGGGGACAGTGCCAGTCTGCCTTTCAGCATGTCCAGTGCCTTCCTGGTGCTGTGACCTTAGGATGTGTTGTCATTAATTGGTGCTAATCATGCATACCACAGTATGTGTGTGTGTGTGTGTTACAGGGAAGTGAGCACAGGAGTTTGGGGCTATTCTTCCCCTAAGATGACTTGTGGTTTCTCAGCAGCTTCTGGGTCAGGTCCAAGCAGGAGGTGTCTGCCCCAAGAGGGGAAAACCCTTCCCTGAAGCTTCAAGGATGTTTGAAATCCTGACCTGGTGGGGACCATTATTGATGGCCATTTCCAAAACCTTATCCTGCTGCAAGCAGCTTCAAAAGCTGCAAATGGGCTCTCTCAGACCCCCCACCTCGTCTGGTCCCTGGCCCTGGGGCCACATCCTGCCCTCTCAGCAGATGGGCATGAGGCTGGGCCAATCCTGTCCTGGGGCTGGGAGATGCCGTTTGCTGGCTGACCTCTCAGGGCTTATGAGATTTGCAGATTCCAAGGACCTGCCTTGTTCCTTGTGGTACATCGGGGTCTCTGGGCATTGCTGGAGGGGGGGGCAACAGCGGCTGCCAGCCTGGTCTTCTGTAACACTGAGCATCGAGTCTGACTCTGTGTAAGCTCATTAGGGGAAGAAAGCGGCTTTAAAGGATGTGACGGATTTGAGCAAAGGGGTCGAGCAGGGGAAGGGGCAGTGAGGGTGATGGCTGGGGGGAAAGTGGGGCTGCCGAGAGGGGCAGGAGGGATGGGGGTCCTGGCCAGAGCGGCTTCTGGGCATCATCAAGTACAATGCTACAGGGGCTCCTCGTCATCCGTCCTGGTTTAGCCTGGTGTGGTGCCCCCCATCAAATCATGGGGGGGATCCCCTATCTCTGTGGAGCTCCTGAGTGCCACCCCCCTGCCCTGAGCCTCCTGCCGGGGAGGTGCTGCAGCTCCGCTCGGCTCTGCAGACACGGATGGAGCAGTCGAGATCTCTCCCAACTCTGGGTAAAGCTCTCACCTCCGAAGAGTGGGTGCGGGATCTGTCCCCCCACAGAAACCAGAAATCGTCTGGCCACCTGCAAACTGCTCAGCCCGCCCCGGGCTGTGCAGGGAGCTCCCAGCCACGCTCAGGCATGTCCTTTAAAGGCCTTCTTGCATCGAGCTCTTCCCTGGCAGCTCCTTCTGCCGCAGATGTGATCGCTCTCCCCTCCAGGGAGAATCTGCCTCCGGCAGCTTGTGCTGCGTGGGGTCCTGGCACCCCCCGACCCACCATCTGCCGGCCGCCCCGCGTCCCCTGACCCCCCTCCTGGGGACCCGACAGCGCCGAGTGCCGGGTCCGAGCTGGGTGGCCCCAGCGTCTGCCTTCGGCTGCTTGAGACGAGTTCAGGCAGGTAACGACCCGGGGAGCGTTTGGTAAAGTCGCCGAGGCGAGGGAAAGCGCTCGGTCTGGCTTCCCGGGGGGTTATTTATGCCACACTGGGCAAACGAGCTGCATGTCTCTCTATTTGCAGCCATAAAACAAAGATAAGGAGCGAGTGTCCGTAAGGCTGAGCTGGACTCAATCAGCAGGGTCTGCCCTGGCTGTTACGGAGCGAGTGCTTTGCAGCAGGGACCAGCCCCTGGGGAAACTCTGATGCTCACTGATGTGATGAGTTTACCTGGTGGCTGGGGGCTCCTGGGCCCCTTGGCAGAGGTGTTGGGGACAATTTGCAGTGTATAGGCATGAAATGGGTTTGTTTTGAGGGATGCCAAGTGCTGCTTGCTTTTACACCTCCACCGGGGCTGAGCAGGCTCTGGGAGACGAGTGATGGCCCCGCTCGGTGCTGGAGCATGGCCAAGGCTTTGCACAGACTTCAACCGGTCCCTGCTCCCTATCCCCTTAAACCTCTGCTGCATTTTGTGTCCCAGCAAAAAAAAAAAAAAATAATAATTTCCTTCTGCCCCATATCTGCACATCTGTGAGCACAGCTCCTGAGGGGACGCATCCTGCAGGAGGGTCCCTTCTGCACAGTGACTTTATCCTGGGCTGGGAGAGGGACTCTGTGGACTTCCTGATGGTTTTCTCTGATTTTTAATCATTGCAAAACAGCTTAGATGAGATGTCCAAGCTCCCTTGCACTCGGGAATCTCTTATATTTGACTTTCTGGGAGCCAGCCTGGCAGGGGGATGCTTGGGGATGGGACTGTCCTGGGGTACAGTGGGTCGCTCCTGCTCTGCACCAGGTGCTTGCCATCAGTAGGTGGGTGTAAACTTATCTCCCCCCATGGAGATGCCCCAGATCATGAGCCCCAGGCGAGGATCACCTGTGGGAGGGAAATGGGGGCAGTGAGTGGGGAAGTCCACCCTCAGGGGCTTGTAATAAATTCCACTTTTGCCTTGCTCAGCACCCGCCCGAATCCCAGCAGCATCCTCCTGAATCGCAGCGGGCCTCCCCACCTCTTTTCCCACGGATGCCTCCACGCTGAGCAGAGGAGCTCGGAGCTCCTGCTGGGTGAGAAAAATGCTTTAAAAATATAACATTTAGAGGCGTTCTCCCATCTGCGCACAGCTAATATGTGTCTCTCGTGATAGGTGTGCTGGTCCTGGGGCCTCCACGCTTCCCAAATGAAGCCGCTTGCGGGGACCTCACCGGGAGAGGGGGACGAGGAGGCGCAGGGACCTGCCCGGGGGCGCCGGCGGCGGCAGCGGCAGAGGACGAGCTGCCAACCCAGCCCCTCGCCTCAGAGGTACGTGCACCAAGGGCTCATCCCATGGCTCTCGGGGTGCTGGTGAGGATGGGGTGAGGATGGCAGTGCCAGGTGAGAGGGGGATGCTGGCTGGAGCATCACCCCGCTCTGAGGCACCGAGCATCGTTTCAGCACAGAAGCCCCTTCTGTGGCCATCATTCCCAGGGAACAACCCCCATGCTTGCAGGGAGGAAGGGGAAAATCCTCTTGTAGCCCTGTCCAGAGCCAGGAGCAAAGTTTGGGGGTTCAACCCCCTTCCCAGGTGGGTGCTGAGCCCCAGAATCAGGCCACAGAGTGCTGTTTGCATGGCAGCCCCTAAATCTCCATGACCTGCCATCCCTGGTGTGCTCCAGCATCCCCAGCCTCACCAAGCAGGGATGCTACAGAGCTGCCAGACTTCCTTGGACCCAGGACAGGGTTTTGGGGGTGACGAGGCCATCCCGGTGCACTTTTGCGGGGGGCAAGAGCATGTGCCAAGGCCTGCTGTCCCCGTGGCAGTGACATGAGATGGCGCCCGGGCTCTGCCAGCAGCCGTGTTTGTTGTGGTGCCTGTGAAGAGGCCAGCTCGCAACGAGGTCTGCTTGGCAGCTGGGGCAGAAAAAAAATAATAATATAATAATGTGCTGAGGAGAAGCACGGCCGTGGGCCGGTGACTCATTGCTGGCTGGAAACGGCTTCAGCGGGCTCCTCGGTGGTGGCTCTGCGGCGGCAGAGAGGGCTGCGCCTGTGCCAGGAGAGTGGGGACAGGGACGGAGCAGGCTGCAGAGGATGCTTGGAAAGTACCCAGGTCCGGAGCAGCACCCCATGTCGGCTGGGGGAGGGCAGAGGGGGTGGGATGCTGCCTCTGCTGCTGGAGTTTCTTTGGGGTTTACCCAGGCATCTCTCTGCAGGGAGCAGCAGGCAGAGCTGGCTGGGCTCCCCACGTCTCCAGATGAAGGTAAGAGCATCCCCAGGGTGGGGATGGGGGAAAAGGGGTGGGTTTTGCACCCTCCCTCCCTGAGCAGCATTGCTTGGGTCCAGCAGGAGGGTATCCCCTGGCCTGGCAGCACTTGCCTGCACCCCCTACCCCTTTCACCCCTGGGACCCCAACCCTGTCCCCTGCCACTCCTCAGGGATGTGCCTCGCCAGCTATGACCCACCCCCTGCACCAAACCCCTCACCCTCCTCCCCCTGCCCTGGCCCAGCCTGGTTGCAGCTCCCTTAACCCCACAAGGGTATTTGGGGGACACCTGTCAAGCCCCTGCCCCCTGGGAGCCTGCAGGCTGCAGAAATGCCAGCGGTGGTTTTGGGGATCTCCCTTGAAGTGGTGTCAGGCTGGGGAGGGTACCCTGCTGCCTGGCTCCTGCCACCCTTTCTGTCCCCAGGGAGGATGAGCAGTCCCCAGGGACACCCAGACGGGGTTTTGGCTGGGCACGAGCAGAGCGTGGAGTGCGTCGGCGAGGTGAGAGGGAGGGGAGGGCATCAGGTTGGGGGACCCCGGCCCCTTGGGCTTGGCCAGACCCCCAGCTCCTTGGTGCTGCTCTTTCTGGGATGTGTCCAGTGCCAGGGAGGGATTTGTTCTGACAAACACCCTTGTGCCCTCCAGGTGCCAGGCAGGGACAGGCAGGAGCTGGCTGTGTGCACTGGGGACAGTGATGGGACCGAGGAAGGTGGGTGAGTCCCCGTCCCACATCCCAGATGGGTCCCCTTAGAGGAAGGCTTGAAGTAGCTGGGGATGAGTGTGGGAGCATTGTGGCTTGATGGGGTTTGCTCCCTTGGCTGGGGATGTGGGGAAGGGGGGACTGGTTGGGAGGGACCCGAAGCCCTGCTGATGCTGGGGGAAGGATTGGGGCTGTCCCATTCCATGGGCACCTGCTCCCTGCTGGGACAGGAAGGCAGAGGGAGGAGGAAAGGCCAAGCAAAAGCCTTCACATGTGCTCTCTGCGGTGGTGTTACCACCTCCCTGCAGATGCAGAAGCCCCGGAGGATCCGCTGCTGACTTTCCCCAGTGAGCTCTCAGTGCTGGAGAGACTGGGCTTGCACGGGTAAGACCAGAGAGCGCCTGCCTCCCTCTGGGGACTACGGGACAAGGGGGTTCCCAGGGCAGCACATGGCCCAGGGATTGGACTTTCCTCCTTTTCCACTTCACAAGAGCCAGTGTCCAGATGAAGGGCACTTGCGTCCCCACTTCTGGTGGTGGCTGACACCCCTGGCACCCTTGGGAGCAGACCAAGGGCATTTTCAGCCTGCAGTCCCCATGGTGCCTCCATCCCTGACAGCATTTGTCTTCCCACAGGGTGGCTCTGACAGAGCAGGATGTGGAGGTGAGGGCTGTCCGGGACCACAGGTGGGCTGGGGAAGAGGGACAGAGGGACAGACACCTTGCTGGCTCACAGTCCCAGGGGCTGTGCCTTCCTCCTGGCCATCCTCCAGGCACCGCAGTCCCCTGGCAGCCACCTTACAAATCCCTTTCCCAGTGATGCTGTTGGCCTTCAGAGGCAGCTGCATTTCCAACGGCAAGATGAGCCTGTCCTCTGTGCTCTCGGCAACCCCACAGAGTGCTCTGCAGCTCGCCGAGCGCGCCCTGAGCTGGGGAGGTGGCGGAAACCGTGCTAATAAAAATAATTTTCCTGTGAGTGCCAGGGCTGAGTCAGGCTCCGCTGTCAGCCGGGACCTGCAGCGAGAGCTGGCGTCTGCCCGGCGCGTGCTCTTGCCAAGAGGGCTCGGGATTTCCATGCCTTATCAGCTGCCTGGGGGGGTTGTGTCTCAGTCAGGCTCACGGGGACTGTCCCCAGCATGAAGCAGCCTAACTGGTGCTAGGGCAAGGGAAGAGCTAATTGTCCTTAGCACTACCCTGCTTGGTGACATGCGAGGGGGTCTGCCTGTGCCTTGGGGACAGCAGTGCATGGCCCTGGTGGCTTCCCCTTCGCCCTGTGTCCCACCTCTCGCCCTCCCACCCCACAGGCAGCCTTTGCCCACCTCGCCCTGGCTTTTCGCTGCGACGTGTTCACCCTGCGGCAACGGGTGGAAGTGGAGAAACGGGCACGGGACGCGGCGGAGGAAAACATCCAGGAGGAGCTGGGGCAGTGCCGGGCTGCCCTGGAGGTAGGGGGACACCAGGGCAGGGGCTGGCATCTGCTGGGGACATCCAGCTCCCAGAGGGGTTTGGACAAATCAAAGTCCTGGCTTTGGCAGCTCCATCCTCTTCCTCCCCAGAGGCTGGGCCCATCCTGTGCTGACGTGGGCTACAAGGAGATGCTGGAGCAGCTGCAGCGCAGCCTGGCTGTGCTGGCAGCGGCCATCGAGCGGGCAACCAGCGCCGCGGAGAAGCTGGGGGCTGTCCATCAGGTCTGTGCACAGCCTGGGACCTCCTCCCAGGGCTGGGAACCACGGAGGGTGCTGCGGCTGGGCTTGGGGACTTGCTGGGGCTTGTCCCTCTTCCTCGTGGTGCTGGTGTTGACCTTGTGTTTGCACATACTGGGGTGCAAGGGAACAGAAGGGGATGTGTTTACATCCCTGTGGGATGCACAGTGGGGGACTGGCAGCGACCCGGGTCTTGGGGAGCAGGAGATGGGGGGACATGATCCCCCATCCTGCCTGGCTGCAGGAGGCGCGGATGAGCCGAGCGGCACAGGTGATGGTCCAGCACGTGGAGAACCTGAAGCGGCACCACATGAGGGAACACGCGGAGCTGGAGGAGATGAAACGCCTGATCCAGCAGAACTCCCGCAACCGGCAGCTGGCGGAGACCCAGGGTGAGGTGGGCTCTGCCGCCGGGGCAACCCTGCGGGATTCGGTCCTGAACCCCTCCGGGGGGGTCAGCGTGGCCCCACGCCGCAGAGCCAGCGGGTTGTGTGAGCTGGGGACGGGGGCGGGTGACAGCTGGGACGCGATGACACATGCGAGGGGTCAGTGTAACGGCAGACGCAGCGTGGGAGCAGGTGCTGGTGGCCAGGGAGCCATCGTCCCGTGGCCCAGCTGGGAATGCGGGGCTGGGGGGGCACGAGGCACACAAAGGACGCTCTGTCCCTGGACGCCAAACCCCACAGATGCCATTGCACGCAAAAACGGTCCCCCCGGACAGAGCACTCCTGTGACTTGTGCCAAGCATGTGGCCAGGACAGTGTTCCATGGGAGGGAGGAGGTTTGCAAGCATCTGTGTTAATTTTTGGGGGTGATGTAAAGCTGCTTCTCTTTGCTCCCAGATGATGCGGAGCCACGGCTGAGGCCTCACCCCCTGATGCGAACTTTCCAGCAGGTAACTGGTCCCAGTTCAGTGGCTCCAGAGCCACCACCTCCATGTGCCCTGCAACTCCCCCTCACCCGGTGGTCCCAACGCACTCGCTAGCCTCCGGGCAATGCCACTCCTGCCAGCTGCTTGCTGTGGGCACGGGCTGCTAGAAATGCTGGGGATGAGACAAAGTGTAGGGGCAGCCTCGGAGGACTGCGGGGAGACGGGCTGCCCGGGTTTGGGGAGACAGGGTGCCCAGGTTTGCGGAGACAGGGTGCCCAGGGTTGGGGTCTGCTTGGCCAGGAGATCTCAGGCAGGTCCCTCTGCATTGCAGGGTCATAGAACGAGAGCTGCAGGCTTGGCTGTTCTCTAGCACCAGCTCGAATTCGGCACTGATTCCCCTACAGCTCAAGAGGTAGGGGGAGCGCTCGGGGAGGGGGTTAGGCAGCCCCGGCAGCACGGCTTGAAGCAGCAAGGACAGGCACAACCCTCTTGGCTTTCACCTTCCCACATCTCACCAGCTCTCCAGCTTGTCCCCGTAACACCAGGGCTGGTGGGAAGCTGGCAACGTCCCTTCACCTCCCCGGTATCCCTTGCCTGTGTTGGGGAGGGGATGGGGAAGGAGGGGATGGAGAAGGAGGCGAAGGGGAGCACTGGGAGGCAGCCAGCTCACCCCCAGCCCCTCCGTTGCAGGGGTCTGCCCGCCGCAGAGTCAGCATCGCCGTCATCCCCAAGCAGCTCTTGGTAAGGACACGGGCAGGGGGGACGGACAGGAGCTGTGCCCCCCACTGTCAGACGTGTGTCCCCAGGCTCGGTGCTACCGGGGGGCTGGGTCCCCACTGATGCTCCCACCTTTGGTGCCCAGCCAGGTGCCAGCCCTGACAGCCGAGCAGCCCCCGCCAGCGAGCCGGAGAGGGAAGGGTCCCAGCGCCGGCCCAGCACCCAGAGGTAACCACACTGGGTGGCAGGGAGCCCATGGCACTGGTTGCCACTGGCCCATGGCACAGCCCGCCGTCCTCTCCCTCCCCAGGAGCGAGCTGGAGCCTCAGGGCCAGGGCAGCGCCGTGACCAGGGATCCAGTGGCCGAGGCAGATGGCAGAGGCTCAATTGCAGGGGATGAGGAGCCGGAGCAGCTTGGGCTGACGTGAGCAGCACCCTGCGTGTGCCCAACATCCCCCCTGCGGCTGCTGGGCTCTCCGTGGTCCCACAGTGGCCAGCACATGAGAAACAGGCTGGGGAATTGGGTGATGGAAGGCTGGGGTGTTGCTTGGCTGCCCCAGCTCGACCCTCTTCTGCCTCAGTTTCCCCTGTGTATTGTGGGTCCCCGGGCTGGTGGCATTTAGGTTTGCAAAAGGGTCAGTGAGGTTTGGGGTTGAGTAAAACACCCTCCTCATCCCCAGCTGGGGCGGAGGTGGGATTTGCTCTCCCCCCTGGATGATGAGTGTCACCTTCTCCCCAGGTCCAAGGGGTCCCCGGCGGAGCTGTGGCGGCCGTGGCTCTTCCTCCCGCAGCACTACTGGGTTTTGTTATGGCTGCTTCTCCTGAGCATCGCCTTCCTCCTCCTCATCCGTGTCCTGGAGCTGCGGCGGCTGCAGCCTGCGGCATCGCCCAAGGCCTAGCCCGAGTGGGGAGGGGGAGGCGGCCCCATCGCTGCTCCTTCCCTGCACCAAAAACCACCAAAACCCTAGAATAATAAAATTGAAGGAAAAAAAAAAAGGTGAATTTTTGGTGCTGTAGCAGAGGGAAACATCCTGTGCTGGGGTCTGAGGTTTGTTTGGAGCCAGTTTACAGGAGTGAAGGGCTCGGGGAGCTGCAGCAGCTCTCATCAATGCTATGAGTTTGCCTGTTCTTTTGGCACACTGAGGGGTGCAGGAATGCCCCTCCAAGCTAGTGATAGAGACTGGGCTGTCCAAGGGTTTGCATGTCCTACTGTGCTGACCACACACCGTTCCACCCCGACGTGTCCTCCATCCCTGCTGCCTGGGGAGCCGTAATTAAGATCTAATGCTCATTTGCTGCTGCCCCGGAGGACAAAGCTCTGTCTGGAAGGAGCGGGTCAGGGCTCAGCCTTTCCCGTGGCTCCACAAAGAGCTCACAAACAGAGGGAGCTCTTTCCGACCACTCCGGTGTTGGGAAAATCGCCTGCTTTGACGCAGACGCCCCGTTTCCGCGTCCGTCCCGGTCCCTCGCCGTCCCAAAACACGGGTGGGCCCTGCTGTGCCTTCACCCAGCAGCTTTGCAGGGCGCTGGGGGGCTCAACTCCGGACAAGCTGCTGGTGAGACTGTCACGGGGGAGTGGGTTCCACACCAGGACCACCAGGAAGAGGCCCGAGAGGGCGGCGGGAAGGAGGGATGAAGGTGCTGGGCCGGCCGTCCCCGCTCGCCGCAGCCACCAGCAGTGCCACGCGTGACTCACCGGCGGGCAGCCTAACCCCGTATGCCAGCTCGCCCCGTGTCCTTGAGTCACCCTCCCCAGCCTTGTGGCAGCTTGTCCCTCTGTGTCACCTTGGCTGTGACACTCATCCCGGCACGTGGCAAGTGCCCAGCAGCACCCCAGGACACCCGCCACCAGGAAACCCCAAAAAGCGCCCGTCCAGGAACGACCTTCGGTGACCCCCGGCGGCTCCATCCTCTGCCCAAGGTACCTGCACCCCACGGGGGAGGTGGGTGGAAACAGCAGCCCCAAAAGTTTCCACGGGGTGGTCTGTGGGTGGTCTGGGACATGGGGGGGGCCGGGGTTGGCACTGAGAAGGTGTGTCCCCCCCGTCCCCCCCCAGCTCCCCCCGTGAACTCTCTTTCTGGCTGATGGGGGAAGCTGGACACAGAGCCGGGGCGGAAGGTGAAATGATTTTGTTTCATCACCTGAATCTTTTAGTTCCCTTTGCGAAAAGACCAGTTTCTCACCCCAAAATTTGAAAAAAAAAAAAAACAAAAACACAAAATCCAGCCGGGGTCGCCCTGTGCAGCCCCCGATCTAACCCCCCCCCACGCCAAGGGCAGCGCTGCCACTCGCGGGGAGGGGGGGTGGGCTGGGGGGTGTGGGGTGGGGGTGTTGTTTCAGCCTCCAGCGCTGTAAAAAAAACCCAATTGCAGCAACATTTGCAGCGGCACAAAGCCGGAGCGCCCCGGGGGCCGCCCCCCCCGCCCCCAGTACCGCCCCCCAGCCCGGACGGCTGGGTCCCCCCGGCCGTGGGGG